CCACCTCCGCTGCGGACGTCAGGCGAGATGCGCAACAATGGCTGTCGGAACCACGAGGCGCTTCCGCGCTCCTTCCGGCACGCAGCCACACCCACTTCCGGTGGGGCCTGACGGACAGCCGCTAGGGCCGCCCCCGTTGCCGGAGCAACCGTCCTGTGGCCGGCAGGGGGCGCCAAGGGGCGCCTCGGGCTCCGGCCCCGGCTGGAATCTCAGGCCCCCAGATACATTCGCGGTCGTACAACTTGCACTCAGGATTCTGGGTGGGACTCGGCTTCCACCGAACTCGGGGAACAGCACAGGTGAGTGAGCGTTCGAGGCTTTTCCACCTGGAGTTACCCATGACGATGCACGGTGAATGGAGGGTGAATGGTGAATCGGGCCACGCTCCACTGGACCGAGGGGAAGGCTGGCCTAAGGCCTGGCCTGGGCTGTGTGGCCTAGGCCCCCCGAAACTCGAGACTCTGCTACTTCAGTTGGGGCGGAAGGGAGAAGAGAAAGGAGAAGAGATCAATCGTCTGTGGCTCACACCTATCATCCTAGCCACTTAGAAGGCTGAGTTCTCAGAATCGCAGTCAGAAGCCACCCAGGAAGACTAAGCACCAAAAACAAACTGGAAATGGAGTTGTGGCTAGTATTTTATCTGTCCTCTTATTTGAGCCTCTAGTTCATTCTGCACCGTTGACACTAGGTGGCGATCTAAGGCTGCTATACACTTGGAAACCTATAAACTAGGCCATCCATAGGTGGGGTGCTGGTGACTTTAGTGTGACCTGAGCCAATCCAGGGAAGGCAGCCCCGCTAGTGGCCACGTCCTGTAGCTAACTCCGATTAAGCCTATTTGACTGTCAGGGAATGTATGTCATTCCTCGGTACCAGCTCATTTTGGGCAATTCTTTCAAGTCTTCCCTGGAAATTCATTCAATATCATACTGGTTTTAGGTAGTATTACTGTTACCTTTTATGATACTTTACTCGGCAAATGACCGTGACAGTTACCGATAAGATGACCTGATGTGCACATTTGCACTACATCCTGTGTCCAATATATATATATATATAGAGAGAGAGAGAGAGAGAGAGAGAGAGAGAGAGAGAGAAGCTAAATGATGAAGCTGGCGCTGGTGGGGCTCACGTCTGTAATCCTAGCGACTCAAGAGGCTGAAATCCAAGGATGAATGTTCAAAACCAGCCTAGGCAGGAAAGTGCATGAGATTCTCATCTCCAGTTAACCACTAAAGAGCCTGCCGAAATGGAGATGTGGCTCAAGTGGCAGAGCGCCAGCCTTGAGGGGAAAAAAAGGCTCAGGGACAGAACCCAGGTCCTGAGTTCAAGATGAAAATCAGCACCAGCCGGGCGCTGGTGGCTCACGCCTGTAATCCTAGCTACTCAGGAGGCTGAGAGATCTGAGGATCGCGGTTCAAAGCCAGCCCAGGCAGGAGAGAACGTGAGACTCCTATCTCCAATAAACCACCAGAAAACCAGAAGTGGCGCTGTAGCTCAAGTGGTAGAGCGCTCGCCTTGAGCTGAAGAACTGAGGGACAACTCCCAAGCCCAGAGTTCAAGCCCCATGACCGACAAAAAAAAAAGAGAAAATCAGCACCAAAGAAAATTTTCTTGCTGGGGCTGGGAAGATGGCTCAGTGTAGAGCGCGTGCCTTGCATGCCTGAGGCCCTGGGTTTGATTCCTCAGCACCGCATAAGAAAAAAGCCGGAAGTGTCGCTGTGGCTCAAGTGGTAGAGCGCTAGCCTTGAGCTGAAGAGCTGAGGGACAGCGCCCAGGCCCAGAGTTCAGGCCCCACGACCGGACCCCCCAAAAAAAAAAAGAAAATTCTCTTGCTCCACTGGGGCTTCATCAAGGTGACTGTCGGAGGGAAAGGGGGGGGGTGGAATGGAGAAGTGGCATCATCTAGAAAGTAAGCCTAAAATGTCTTGTCACGTTCTCGAGAAGCTGTGGGAAGACAATGGTGTCTTATACTCAGACGGGGAAAAGGAAACATCTCAGGAAGAGGATGGAAGCAGATTCTGCTCAGCATGTTTTATTTATTTTTTTGTCAGTCATGGGTCTTGAACTCTGGGCCTGGGCGCTGTCCCTCAGCTCTTCAGCTCAAGGCAAATGTTCTACCACTTGAGCCACAGCACCACTTCCAGTTTTCTGGTGGTTCGTAGGAGATAAGAGTCTCACAGACTTTCCTGCCCGGGCTGGCTTTGAACCACGATCCTCAGATCTCAGCCTCCTGAGTAGCTAAGATGCCAGGCGGGAGCCACCGGCACCCGACCTGCTCAGCATCTTACCATCATTAGCTGCCAATCAATGAAACCGAGTCCTCGCGGTCACCTAGGGAACGGAGGGCGTGGCCATGTACGCCATAGTGCGTATGTGTCATTGTTGCCTAGGGAACCGTGGGCGTGGCCAAGTTACGCAAAGGCGCGTGTTACGTCACTCTAGGCTTCAGCCGCGGTCCACCCGGGCGGCGTCCGCATCCGAAAGTCACGGGGCTGGTGAATGCGGACCCCGAAGGGTTCTGGAGAAGTCGCTGTCGGAGGCGACTATGGGGAGCCGTGCTCCGGGCTCGGGCCTCTCCGCGTCCCCGCGGGCCCCACGGGGTGCAGTGGGCGCGGGTCGGAGGCCGTAGCCGGGACCCCGCTTCCCTCCGGGCCTGAGCGGCGACCGGGCCCGGCCGGCCGCGGCCCCAGATGCCTGTGATGGCGGGAGAATCGTGGAGAGCTCGCCTCAAGGCCCAGAGTTCAAGTCCCACAACTGACAAAACTTCATTCAGCCAGGAGAATTTCAGCATTTCCCAGGACGCCACGACAATGTGGTCAGGAAGATTTCGTCACAAATTGGATTTCCTGGCTTCTTGCATACAATGATAAGAATAGATGGACACAAAAAACAGATGAGGTGACCGCACGTTGTAGTGCACACCTGTAACCCAGCACTTGAGGGGCTCAGCAGGAGGATCTTGAGTAACTCATGGCAACCAAAACAGACAGTAAGTGCTTGGCAACTCATGGATCTGAGGAGGGGACACACATTCTCACAGACACACACACACACTAGGTGCTGATGGCTCTGGCCTGAAATCTTACTCAAGAGGCTGAGATCTGAAGATCATGGTACAAAGCCAGCCAAGAAAGAAAGTCCCTGAGACTCTATCTCCAGTAAACTACTCACAAAAAGCCAGAAGTGATGCTGTGGCTCAAGTAGCAGAATGCGAGCCTTGAGCACAAAGACGACAAAGGACAAAGCTGAGTTCAGGGCTGGGAAGGTGGCTCAGTGGTAGAGTGCTTGCAAGAGGCCCTGGGTTCGATTCCTCAGCACCACATAAACCGAAAAAGCTGGAAGTAGCACTGTGGCTGTGTCTCAAGTGGTAGAGTGCTCACCTCGAGCTGAAGAGCTGAGGGACAGCGCCCAGGCCCAGAGTTCAAGCCCCACAACTAACGAAAAAAAAAAAAAAAACAGTTCAAGCCCTAGGACTGAACAACAAATCAGGTTTTGATTGGTTGTTTGGAGAGATTTAGTTTACAACAGAGGTTCACCGTGAGGCGCAGGCTGGCCTGGACCTTGTAATACTACTGCTGGGATTACAGGTGTACACCACATAAAAAGAATGTCTAATCTTTGTCAAATTTGTCAAATAATAAACAAGCATTAGGAACGTGTCTTTTTTTTTTACCACAGCGCTGTATGCAGGAGAGACTAAAGAGGCGGAGGCGCTGGCAGTCAACTCCCAGATGTGACCAAGGACAGCATGGGAGGAAAAGCATATGAATGCCGCCTCTGTGGGAAAGCCTTCAAGCTCCATTCTTCCCTTAGGAGGCCCGTCAGATCTCACCCTGGACATGATCATCTGGAGGGTTAAATGTGGAGAGGTAAGGAGTGTGGGATCGCCTTCAGTTCCCTCAAGTCCTTTCAGAGACAGAAGAGCGCCCACACCGGAGAGAAGCCCTACAAGCACAGCCAGTGCGGGAAGGCGTTCGTGCAGCAGCGGCCCTGGCAGACCCACGAGCATGCACACGCAGGGCCGCAGCGCCAGCTGTGAGCGCTGGGGCAAGGCGCTCAGCTCTCACCAAAGGAGGATGCACGCGGGGGAGAAGCCTTATGAGTGTGCAGTGTGGGAAAGCCTTCGGCTGTCTCAGTTCTACTCAAATCCACACATGAACCCACACTGGAGAGAAACCCTATCGGTGTGGAGAACGTGGGAAAGCCTTTGTCTCCTGCACAAGCATGCCAACCCACATGCTCACACACAGTGGAGACAGACCTTACAAGTGTGAGGCGTAAAAAAATAAATAAAAAATCTTAAGAAATGGCGCTGTAGCTCAAGTGGTAGAGCGCTCACCTTGAGCTGAAGAGCTGAGGGACAGCGCCCAGGCCCAGAGTTCAAGCCCCACGACCGACAAAATAAATAACTACAAGTGTGAGGCATGTGGGAAGGCCTTCATTCGGCCCAGTTTTCTACACATCCACGAGCAAATTCACACCGGAGAGAAACCTTATGGATGGTGACCATGTGGCAAAGCCTTCCAGGGTTCTGCCTCTGTTCAGATCCACAAAAGAACTCACACTGGTGAGACACCCCACGAATGCCAGGAGTGTGGGAAAGCCTTCAGTGCGTGGCCAGCCTTTCCAGTCCACGCAAGGGCCCCCACGGGAGAGAAGCCCTATGGATGCCGAGAATGTGGGAAAGCCTTCAGCTGCCTCAGTTCTATTCAAATCCACGCGCAAACCCACACCGGAGAGAAACCCTACGGATGTCAACAATGTGGGAAGACTTTTCAATTATCCCCTGGCTTGGAAATCCACGAGAGATTGAAATCACATGGGAGAAAAACCCTATGAATGCAAGCGGCGTAGAAAGCCTTCATTTCTCTGGAGAACTTTCAGGAGACACGTGATCACCCACGCTGGGGATGGACCTCACAAACGTGGAGAATGTGGGAAAGCCTTCATGTTCCTCAGTGCGTTTCGAACCCGTGAAAGGAGGCACTCTGGCGAGAAGCCATGCATATGTACACAGCGTGGCAAAGCGCTCAATTGTTCATCATGTTCAGATCCACGAGAGAACATGCACTGGAGAGAAGCCCTATGAGTGCAAGGAGTGTGACAAAGCGTTCATCTATCCCACCAGCTTCCAAGGCCACGTAAGAATTCACATGGGGGCTGGGAAGGTGGCTCAGTGGGAGAGCGCTTGCCTTGCATGCCTGAGGCCCTGGGTTCCATTCCTCAGCACCACATTAGCAAAAAGAGAAAAGCCAGAAGTGGCGCTGTGGCTCAAGTGGTAGAGCACTAGCCTTGAGCTGAAGAGCTGAGGGACAGCGCCCAGGGCTTGATTCCTCAGCTCACGCCTGTAATCCTAGCTACTCAGGAGGCTAAGTCAGCCCAGGTAGAAAGTCCATGAGATTCTTGTCTCCAATTAACCAGCATAAAACTGGGAATGGCACTGTGGCTCAAAGTGGTAGAGCACTAGCCTGGAGCAAAAGAGCTCAGGAACAGCGCCCAAGCCCTGAGTTCAAGCCCCACAACCAACAACCATATATATATACACACACATATGTATGTGTATACATATATATATATATATATACCCTGTATTTACACACTATATATACATATACATACATATAATTTAAGAATGCAAGGTAACTCATATAAGATGGTTCCAAACATTGAAAGAGTGAAAGAAACATCACAAAAATCAAAACATTTTTATCACTGCTTTTTTATTTTTGCTGCTCTTGGGGCTTGAACTCAGGACCTGGGCTATGTCCCTGAGCAGCTTTTTCTCAGGGCTAGCACTCTACCACTTAAGCCACTTCCCCATTTTTTTTTTTTTTTTGGTGGTTCATTGGAAATAAGTCTCACACTTTCCTGCCTGGGCTGGCTTCAAACTGCAATCCTCAGATCTCAGCCTCCTGAGTAGGATTACAGGCATGAGCCACCAACACCCAGATCACTGCTTCCATCTTAAAGTCTATCTCTGGATTTCTTCTTACTTTAGCAAAGATGCTTTGAAATGAAAGAATTCTGTAGATACTCCTAAGCAATCGCCTAAACATGTATGTGCTGATGTGTTATAAGAATGTAGATTTCAGGGATGGGAAGGTGGCTCAGTGGTACAGCACTTGCCTTGCATGCATGAGGCCCTGGGTTCAATTCCTCAGCACCACATAAGAAAAAAGAAAAAAGCCAGAAGTGGTGCTGTGGCTCAAGTGGTAGAGCACTAGCCTTGAGCTGAAGAGCTGAGGGACAGCGCCCAGGCCCAGAGTTCAGGCCCCACGACCAGACCCCCCCACACACACACAAAAAAGAATGTATATTTCAAGCTGGGTGTCAGTGGCTCACGCCTGTAATCCTAGCTACTCAGGAGGCTGAGATCTGAGGATCACGGTTCAAAGCCAGCCTATGCAGGAATGTCTGTGAGACTCTTATCTGCAATAAACCACTGAAAAACTGGAAGTGGCACTGTGACTCAAGTGGTAGAGTACTTGCCTTGAGCTGAAGAACTCAGGGGCTGCACCCAGGCCCAAAGTTAATGCCCCACGACCAACAACAACAACAAAAAATTATAATTCTAGCTTAAAAGAATGTTGGACCCATGGGCAAATTGAAATGTAATTTAATTCAATTTGAGGTTATTTGAGGGGGTTGTTGTTCTTTGTTTTGTTTGCAGTACTAAGCATCAAACCCAGAGCCTTTTACATGCAGGGTAAGTGCTGTAGCACTGAGCTATACCCACCCCAAAGAGTCAGCATAAGTGTGTTGAATGGTAACAGTCACTTAAAGATAATTTAGAGAGGAAAAAAAAAACAGCATAAGTGAGAATAAGACCAAGCAAAGGGCTGGGCGATGGTGGCTCATGCCAGTATTCCTAGCTACTCAGGAGGCTAAGATCTGAGGATCATGGTTCAAAGCCAGCCCAGGCAGGAAAGACCATGAGACTCCTATCTCCAATAAACCACCAGAAAACCAGAAGTGGTGCTAAGTGGTAGAGCACTTGCCTTGAGCTAAAGAGCTGAGGGACAGCGTCCAGGCCTAGAGTTCAAGCCTCATGACTGACAAAAAAAAAGACCAAGCAAATACAACAGACTACTCTGGGACCCACATCCCAGCGCTCTAGAAGCAGAAGCAGGGCAATCACAGGTTCCAGGCCAGCCTCGTCTACATAGGGAGACTATCTCAAAACAAAAGTTTCAGAGAGTATTATCCAGCAGACCCCATGTAGTGTGACAACTAGATGAAGACACCTTCCTTAGGCATCTGGCCTTGCCCGATG